TATAGACAAATATTGCCTAAAATCAGGATTGAATGTCACCAATTCTTAAAAATTGATTTTTGTTCAAAATATATATTGATAATTTAACTTTATTTTTTCCTTGTTCTGAGAAACAGTAGACTCAGCTACTGCTCAAGGTTCTAAGAGTCCCCAGTGTTCCACAGTAATCTATGCCACAACTTGAAATTTCCATCATGCTGCCTGGGAAGGATACCATGCTAAGTGCCTAATAGTAAATGGTGAAGGATTTCTTTAGCAGATTTCTCATTGAACAGAGAACTGACTCTAAACGGAAAAAGACACAGAAAAAGTACCTTTTGATAGCTGAGAAGCAAATCAGCAGCGATTTCTAACTCCTGCGGCAGAGCAATCCAGAGGAAAACAGATTGAAGAAAAATTACTGCTTAAGATTCTTGTCCTTCAGGTCAAGTCTGTGTCTCAGTTACAGCATTTACTGTATTACCTTGGGGTCTCAGCCTGCTTCCCCACCTGCAACTGAATAAAAATAGCATCATCCATCCACAGGGTAGTTGTAAGCAAACACTGGGTTGTATATAAAGCGCTAGCACAGTGAACACAATAATTTGTTGTTCTTAGGTTAGTGGGGAGGAACAGTCCTCCGAGATGAAATGGAGAAAACAGTTGTTTTGCTTACTTTGCTATTTAACCCAGTTATAGTTCTGTCTGCCTTCTTTTGTTTCCATGGTTGTAGTTTGTTTTGCTAAGAAAATTCGTCAAGATTTTAAAATTTGAATGTTCTCTCATATCATAATCAAAATATTTTCATTCGATTTCCATAGTGAGAGGATCCTTCTCCATCTTCACTTGTAGCAACATCAGAGAAAAACGTGTTAGTGGCTTAGGAACTAAACTCTCCAGTACATTAGTTTGCAAAGAGAACACTTGAAATACCTATACAGTACAGGAAGTGGTGAAGTTTTTTTTTTTACTTTAGAAAGTTTTTTAATTTAGAAGTTTCTACACTAAAAAAAACTTTAAGGTCAGGAAAAAAGGAAATTTTACCAGAAACCTAAACTTAAATGCAGTTCAAAAGGAGCAATTCCCAACTCACTGTGGTCCAGTTTTCTTTTCACTGACTCCTTTTTGCTTAGGCAACATGTAAACGGGTACCAACGAGGGGGCAGAAGGCACAGTAAATCTCTCAGGCTCCTATATACCCCTTGTGCGTTGTGGCGGTGGTAACACCAGAAAAAAAGCCAGAGCGCTCTTGGGAGCCCCCCTCACCCATTCCCCTCTTTCCCGCCTAAACACTGAGGGGGGCGGGGCCCGAAGTCGGGGCGGGGCGGGTTACTTCCCTGGCCCCGCCTCACTTCTCCCCCACCCCCGCCCCGTGCTCCTCCCATACGCATTTCGCCACGATCCCGACAGGCCCAGCGGCTAGGAGAGTCACGTGAGGCCGGGCGGTGGAGGTGGCGGCTTGTCTCAGCTGTTTCTTGGTCTCTATGGTTTTCAGAGGTGGGCGGTTTTGACGCAGAAGTCCTGGAGCTCCGACGTGGACGGGTGAGTCCTGGACTCTGAAGGGTGTGAAGGAGACAGCCACTCAGGGAAGGCGAAATGGAAGCGGGAGGGGGAAAGGCGAAACAGCCTTAGGGACTTAGTCTCCCCGGCCGGCGGTTTGTTCGCTATAGCCTTAGGCGACTTCTCAGGTCGGGCGGGGAGATAGCTGTTTTTCCTTGATGCGCTCAGTTTAGGGGCTTGAGAGGAGTCCTTTTCCTGTCCTTTTCCTGAAGCGTCCTCCGCTTCACCTCACCCAGTTCCTTCTCACTGTCCCGGGAGAACTTCTCCCAGTGCTGAGTTCCTAGCAACTGGGTTCACTCTCCCCACGGGCGACCAGGAGACACAGGTAGACCTGATTGGGTCCCCTGGGATTTGTGGATGTGGTTGGAAGTGGTTGGGGGGGGGGAGTTGACAGTTAGATCTCTGATGGGGATCAGTATTAACCATTGAAACGATAAAAGAAGTGGAAAAATCAGCGGAGACCCAAAGGAGCTAAACAAAGTGCAGGCTTCTTGGGCTGTTCAGTTTTTATCTTTTCCAGTGTTTTTGCGTCCACATTCTCTCGTTTCCTTCTCACCATCCCATCCTGACCCCCCCATACGATGTGTTGAGAATGAGCCAGGTGTTACTGACTCTATGTGAATGTTGGGAGAAGAGTTAAAACAGTCTGTTCTTTAAGTTGCCGTCGCTGTAATCTTAATGTTTATGGTTTCTTTACCTTCTGTTTCAAATGCCTAAAACATATTGTAGGTATTTGTAAATATAAGTAGAATAACCATTTTATAGGTAAGAAACTAGAGTAAAATATTTTATTCTCCCTGTGGTACCTGGAAAGATCCATTCTCTTTCTGTTATTTTATAAGTAGATGTGTTTATACTGTTTTTCGGGTGGATTCTTGGATATACCTTTGTTTATAATAAAGCATCCTTTTG